ATGCATAGCAGAAGTTTGGTCCCCAAATGGTGGAACCGGGTTCTTGTCCTGAATTTTTTCCCTGGAGCATTATTTCATGCAGGTTGCCCTTAAAGCCTCTTAATTCCGTTTGCTTATTTATCCAGTAGACAAACTACTGCCCACTTTAGAAGGAGTAAAAGAAATGGGATAATTTTCATGAAGTCATTGTAATTATGTCTGAAACCAACTGAATGCTCAGTTAGCTCATGTGATTAATGGTGAAGGTGCAAGCTTCTAATGTCAAAACTTGTAGTCTCCAAATGTTAGTGCTTCTGGAGTCTCATGGTCGCCCCAGAATCACCAGGCGTCTTGGGTACTGGGATGAATTCATTCTTCTCCTATTCCTTGTTTCCTAGCTGCTTTTCTCCAAGCACTGGGGCCACTGTGGGGAATGTATGAGGAAACAGGATTTTGGAGGTAGCATGCAAGGAAAAATCATTTTTTTCTCTTTTGTCTAAACACATACTTAAAATCTGGATTTCACCCTGAAGACTCATACCCCAACAAAGTGTTTCATCATAACTTCTCAGCATTACCTACTCAGGATTTTATCTTAGATTTCCTTCTGACTGCTGCTCCGGTTATCAAACGGGGAAACTCACCCTCTGAGTTCTCCTCTGAAGTGTAGACGGATCTTTAGACCCTCCCTGACTCAAGCATCACTGCTGCACTGTTCAGATGCTGGAAGCCCCCTGTGGCTTTCTCCTTGGCAAGAACTCTGCCACCAAAAGATTTATCTTCTAATCATAGCTCTTTCTGCCCAACTTGAACCTTGGACAAAAAAAAAATAATAATGATTCTCTATTTTCACCAGCTTCCTGCTTCAAGCTGATAAGCAGCGTACTGAGGAGTTAATTTCAGAAGGAGCAGCATGTAAACATTGTAAATCTGATGCGGTAAGGGCTCAGGCTTGTCATTTTGCCTGACTTCACGGCACTCTCCCGAGAGGAGCACATCGCGGTGTTAATTTCAAATGCGGATATTAGTCTGGTTTACAATAGCAGCCTGTTTCCCAAATTGAACCCCCTCATTCATAACTAACTAAGGGTATTCCCACATAACATCATTGTCTTTACTACAGAACAAAACCAATGAATACAGGGCTCCAGTCTCAGTCTTCTCCTGGCTCCAAACCGTGGAAAAATATGAAAGAATTAAAATCTTTCAAAGCTCAACATCATGTCATTTGACATTCTCCTAAGTGTTCTCAATTTCTTTCTCTTCTTTTCTTTCTTTTATTTTTTTAAAGGAATAGAACCCAGAGGCGCTTAAACACTAAGCCACATCTTCAGCCCTTTAAATGTTTTATTTACAGAAAGGGTCTCAATAAGTCGCTTAGCACCTTGCTAATTTGCTGAGGCTGTCTTTGGATTTGTGATCCTCCTGTTTAAGCCTCCAGAGTCTCTGGGATTACAGACATAGGCCAAGACACCTGGCTTCTAAATTTCTTGAACTGGCTCTTAAATTAGTTTTTCTCAGTCTACATTCAATAGTATATTTTGATTTTATTAAAATAAGACTTCAATAAAATATATTACTTTTAGGAAATGAATTATGCTAGGATTTCAAGAGTGGCCATTGACCAGGATAATCGTGGGAAGAAGACTAATTAATTAATGATTTCTATTTTCATGGAATCAAAGCAAAATAGTTTATATATAAATAAATATACATTTGCTATTTCCATCTTTGAAATAGTATTTTGTAGTTATTATTATCCTGATCAAATTTTGGCAGGAGATTTTTGAGTTCCAGGATTTACCATTAACTTCCAAATCTGAATCATCAGTCCAGTTGTAAAATTGGAAATCTCCTCAAATCACCTTCTAGGCCTGTCCACTGAGATGGGTGATTGGCATCTCAAGCTTAAGAGGTTAATACAGTAATGAATAACAGACAGACATGAGCACAGGAATATAAGCTTAAGGGGGTAAGTTATAAACTGGGCCTACTGTGCTTACCTCCACATGCATTCTTTTAAAAAAGAAATTTACCTACAGCCCAGCCCTGCTCATCCTAAGTCAGTAGGATATGTTGTATTCTTTAGAAAACAACTGGTTATCTGCAGGAAAAATGCAAGTCCCCAAAGTCTCCTCCTTGTCAATAAGAGCAACACAAATTACCAGGAAGGCCAGCTGCAGTGGTTGGCTTTTTGTGACCTTTACAGAGACCAGATTCCTGAACTTAGGTAGACAGTATAATCCCCCTTAACTAAACTCTATAATAATAATTTCCTTTCAGAAACGGTCAGTGTGGACCAAACTGACCCAGAGTTGGCCTGAATTATTAGCATATCATTATAACAGTAAAATCTCCCCTACAAGGTATAAGACCATATACAGCAGGGTCTTGGATGCAATCCTGCTGTCAGTCAAAAGTCAAGAAGTGGACCTGAATAGGACTCTCTGAAAATTTCCCTGGGACCCCAGTGAAACTGGAGAGCAGGAGAGGTGCTCTATCCTCCTCTCTGAGGGACTCACTCTCTCCCTTGAAAGTGTCCTATTTTTTCCATTTATAATAATTTCTAAAAAGCTCATGACTGCTACTCTGAGCAACATGTTTGCAATCTTTTCAACATGATTCAAGAATTGATATGAAAATACATCTGTGGTCATGTCAACTACATGGATGGCATTGCTTTATAACAGACCGTATTCATGTTCAACTTCTGTTTTCTATTACCATTTTGTCCCCGATTCTTTATCCTGATTAATAGTAACATTCCCACACTCATTAAAATTGAAACTATTACTGAATCTGCTAAGATGCTATTATTGAAGTCACTATGTCTCACCTGGAAACAGTGGCACATGCCTGTAATCCCTGAGGCTTGGGAGGCTGAGGCAGGAGCATCACAAGTTCAAAGCCAGCCTTAGCAACTTAGTGAGGCCCTAAGCAACTCTCTGAGACCCTATCTCTAAATAAAAATATAAACAAGGGCTGTGGATGTGACTCAGTGTTCAAGCTTCCCTGGGTTTAATCTATAAAAAAGAAAACTATGTCTCATTTTTTTATAAACATGAATAAACATTGAGGCCATTACTTTTAGCCCTGTCATGTGGACATATGTTTTAGTCAGTTTTTTTTTTTCTTCTATGACCAAAAAACCTGATAGGAACAATTTTAGAGGAAGAAAAGTTTACAACATTCTGAAGCTGTTCCAGCTTGCATCTCTAATTTATCCCACAAAATCCAGACAACTCCAAGGGCTTCTGAATCATAAGGTCAGGTTAGTCACAGCAGCAACCCTACTCTGGTAGAAATTTCTGTTTTAGTCAGCTTTGCCACTGCTGTGACCAAAAGATACACACACACACACACACACACCAAAAACCCCCACTATTTTAGAGGAGGAAAAGTTTATTTGGAACTCATGGTTTGGGGGTTCTTAACCCATAGATGGCTATCTCCATTGCTGTGGTCCCAAGGTGGAGACAGAACATAATTAAGGAAGGGAATGACAGAGAAAAGCAACTCAGGACATGGCTACAAAGAAGCAGAGAGAGGGTTCCATTGACCAGAGAGAAAATATATACTCCAAAGGCATGCCCTCAGTGACCCACCTCCTTCAGCCCCATCCTAACTCCCTACAGTTACCATTGGAATTAAACCATTGATGCGGTCACGACCTTCATCCCTATCATTTTGCCTCTGCATGCTCTTTCACTGTCTCACAAATGAGCTTTTGGGAGTTAGCTAATATGTAGCCAAACAAGTTAGAATCTCTCCACTGACTTTATCCGATCACTTAATTTTCCCCTAAGTTGAAAACAGTGCTCTCTCTAAAAACGATCAATGTGCCATTTTATTTTTGAGATGCAGTCACGCGTGGAAAACCCGAAACAGAGTTTGACACAGAATGGCTACCACATGAAAGTTAGTCAGACATAATGCAGTAGATTAAGGCATTTTGATATCTCTTGTCAGCTATAGAGAGTTATTGGTGGGTTTCAAATAATCTTCTCATTATGTGTAGAATTGTATATGAGTTGGAGGGGGGTGGCAGTGAAGAGAAGGATGGCAGTTTGAAACTCAGACACAGAACCAGGACTTTCACAACAGGTTTCCGAATATGACACATAGAAATGATACAATGGGCGTGACTTTGGCCTTTTTGAGTTGGCAATTAGCTAACAGACATCAGAAACCTAATTCTCACAGTTCTGGAGGCTGGGAAGCCCTTCATCAAGAGGTCGGAAGATTGAGGACTTGGTGAGGTCCTGCTGTTTGGGCCATAGGGGGTGCCTTCTAGCTGTGCCCTCTCATGGTGGCAAAGGAGAGCTAGCTTTCTGGGGTCTCTTTTGTATGGGCATGAATCCAACCATTGGGGCTCCAACCTCATGATCTCCCCCCACCTATCGCTATCAACTTAGTGATTAAGTGGATGTGGATTTGGGGAGAATGAAAATATTCAGACCATCACAGAGGTGAGCAAATGGAAAGTTTTTGAAAAAAGAAGAAAAAAAAATAAGTGGACATAAAAATGCTTTTACTTAGAAATGTTTTCTTTGAAATCATTTGAGACGAACTTGTAGGGTGGCAAGAATATTAGATGAAAGAGTCCTGTAAATGTCAAAATTTAAGGGAAAAATATTAGTGGTAGTAACAATTACTATTTTAAAAATATTGTGACAATTCATTTTACATATACCCTCACATATAATGTGGAACAGTGCTGTTATATATTTAGAAAAATTGGAATAAATTCAAGCTGAAATAGAGTTCAAAGAGAAGGAAGTTGAAAAACTCAAATACAAGTTAGATAAAATCAAACACTATAGGAATAAATAGACTAAAAATCACTTATTTGGAACTTAATATCATTAATTGCTTAAAGAGAAAACATTTCACCCAGTACTTGTGCAGGGTGGATAATAGGTTGGTTTAAAAACATATTCCTAAGTTTGAATACATCCTGACAGGAATAGGGACATATTGGAGGTTGGCTTAGAAAGTGGGGAAATTAGTGTAAATAACAATGGGCATAAAAAGAATGGCAGTCAGTGAGCTGTTTACCAAAGATGTAGAGTTTTCATTAATTTCAGTTTGTTTTATTTGGCTTTTATTTTGTTAATTGGAAACATTTAAATATTTTTTATTAGTAGGGAAATAACAATTGAGGATCAAACATATAGATGTCAGATGCAAAACTGAGAAAGGTTTCCCGTAAAAGTCATCAGCGAGAAGCAGACAAAGCAGGTTTGCAGAGTAAGGTGAGTGGGGAGAGGGTCATTTAATCCTCGTGGACAGGTGGAAAACAGGACAAGTAGGGATACAACTTGTCCTGTGGAACTGTAAGTTTATGTTTGATGGCTTTTCACCAGTGAGGAGGCAGTAAGGTCAAAGTTTGCCCCTTATTCTATCCCCAAGTCAGCTTGAAGCATCCATCTTCTTGTTCCTCAGTAACACTAGACAGGATTTGCCTTTTCTTTGCCGACCTTGAGGACATAAGCAGTAAATTTCTACATGAATTAATTGATGAAATGTCTATATCAGATGTTGTGACAATTGTTTCCATCTACAAAGATGGAAAGTAAAACGTTCTAATGAATTCAATATCCACTAGATAAATGACCCATTAAGAAAAAAACACTAACTTGCTGCATTAGTAATTGAAAAACATATTGCATGTCTACAGATTTGGTAGAGATAACAATATTGAGATCTAGTGAATTATGGAAATTTTGAATGCTATAAATGGAGGGAGCTTTAGATATTACAGTTCTCAACCCCTCGGTTGTATAGACATGAATCTGAAAGATGAGAATATTAAACACATTTATAATCCAAATATTTTTCCCTCTTGGTTTCAACATGCAGCAACTGAAGGACCACAAGAACGTGAAATCTATAAGGACTCCAAAAGATATTAATGTCAATCAGGCTAATAACCCAAATTACTGAGGAAACTAATGCAACAGATGACAATATTCTGCATTTAAAAGGTAGGTTACAACTTCAAACTGATAAACTCAGCTTCAGACCAGGTTCTGGGAAACATGCCTGGGTGGTAAGTTTCTTTCAAAGTGCTCCAAGAACTGATAGGAAATAGCAAATGAGATTTGAAAAGAAAATTTTGCAAGGCAATAAGAATGTTTCATGATGGATTGCTGGTATGAAATGTAAGAAACTCGACATTCAGGAAGGTACTCTACAGAGACTTGATCTAATTTTTAAAAATTATTTTGGAAAAGAGGTTCTTTCAGTTGGCAAAAGCCCAGCAACTGGAACATTTGATATCTCTGCTTCATGAGAAAGGAAGGGTGCAAATGCACAAATGTTTAGGTTTATGTTACTGAGAGCAAAAAGAGGGCTGGACAGTTTAATAACAGTGCAAAACCTAAGGCTTGAAATTGTCTCTGATAGCTTTTATGCTAATCACAAGATAAGCACTGAATTTGCTTGTGTATTGAACATCAGGGAAAATGTAGACTGTTAGAAGCCAAGAAATATGTCACTCAGCATTTTGAAGAGATTCTAAATCAACAGCAGAATGGCACATGCTAAAAACCCAGTCAGGCTGTAGATACTAACCTAAAAAAGGAGCAACTTTGACCCTGCTGTTAGCATTTTTTTTTTAACCAGGGATTGAACACAGGGGCACTTAGCCACTGAGCCACATTCCCAGCCCTATTCTGTATTTTAGTTAGAGACAGGTTCTCACTGAGTTGCCTAATGCCTCAGTGTTCCTGGCTGGCTTTGAACTCATGATCCTCTTGTTTCAGTCTCCCTAGATGCTGGGATTACAGGTGTCTTCACTTTTAAACCTGTACTGGAATGCACAGCACCAAGAGATGTCCTGCTGATTAATATGTTTGTAAAAGAATTATTTTCATGTTAGTTTATGATATGATTCCATAAATGATAGCTACTCTTTGCAGGAGTGAAATAAGTGTGCTGATAGTATAGTAAAGATTTCCCTAAAATTGTTAGTTTGGATTTTCTTTTAAGATAAATATATAAAACAGATAATTTTTGCCCAGGAAATACATTCAACTGAAATTTTCATTCATCTTTTTTAGAAGAGATAAATATGATATTAGGCACTGTACACTATAATATTTTTTCAGGGGGAGGTAAATATAATGAGTTTCAGTTAGATAAAGGAGAACACACAGGTGGAATAATCCTGAAATTAAAACAAAATGAATGCAATACTTTTCATACATAATGCATGCAAAAATAGCTTTTATCTCCATCAAGGTTACTTCTGGGGTGCCATCTTGCTTCCCAGCAGCAAGGAGTCTATGGGCAGATGCCACAGCATGCTTGGCAAGAGCAGCATCTCTTGCTGCTAGAGTCAATAGCATGTGCTGCTGGTGGCCTCCTGTCCCTGCCTGGCAGAGATGGGTATCACCTTCTGGGTGACTGGCAGGGCTGCATACAGAGCTTGACTGGAAGGTCCATGAGGCCCAAGTGGAGATGTCATCAATGATATGGCTACACACAACTGCAGGGTGACAAGGGATCTGATGTCTACAAAGCTGGCTTCATGAATATCTTATGGGGATATACTGGGCCACTGGCCAAGACCTTGACATCCTCATGGTACAGAAATCTTTGCTGTGTCTTAGCTGGCCACCTTGCTACTTGCTTCCTATCTATCACCAGACCTGCAAAGTACCTCCCTTTGTCTTTATCTTCATTTGGTGCACCTGTTACCATGTCCACTATATCTCCATGCTGTGTCTTTTAAATGACCCAGTGGCCATGGTAACACCCTGCTCATTATCACCTTCTTCTTGGCCCAGCACAGGGGCTGGCCTGCTACACTTTTGGCCTGACATTTCTCATGAAAAGGAGTATTCTACTCTTCAACCCTTGGTTACTATTCCTTCTCCTTTGGCTTCTGTGCTGCTCTCCCCAACCTGGGCATCTGTACTGTCCTTCAGGTGGTTTGGGAACATCCTGCTGGAGAGCCCCAAGGGCTATATCCTTCTCCTTTGACAATGGCCACCATTTTTTTTTCTGCAGGACAGTGATCTGGACTTCCTCCCAGAGGCTCCCTTCCTGTACTGTACCTTCCACCAGGCCCTGTTGCCCCCCCCCCCGCCTTACCCTGTTCTTGCTATCTGTGCTCTACAGATGGCACAGGATGGGGGAAAATTATCCTGTCCCTGCTGAAGGGTCGTTTCAAAGTGAAGGTTCACACCGACCCAGCCCTTCACACCAATCCCATTGTCTCTACTCTCCTTACCTCCAACTTCACTGGCATCTCTTTCAGCCACTCCCTCCACTACTAGTCATACAGATGGCATTTCCATGCCTTGTCCTACATCCCTGGACCAGGCCTGCACCCTGGCTCACACACTTGCTCAGGTGCTGGTGTGAGGCTCATGGAGCTCTCAGAAACAGCACCATCCACATCCTGCAGCCCTGATGCCTGGAGTTATGGCAAGCTGTCATCCTGCTGGAGCCCTGGCTAGGCCCACAGCCTGTCCCCAAGAGCATCCAGCACAGCCAGGTGGCCCACTGAAATCCACCCTCAGTCTACTCTCAGGACCCAGGGTGGGGTGGACTTTGTAGTAGCCTTCCAAATTATCCTTCCCAAAGCCAAGAAGTATTTAACATTTTAGAGGCAATACTTCAGACTTAAACATGTAGTTAGAATGAATGCATAAGAGTATATCCAAATGAAAGATTCAAAAAAATGTCAAAGAATACTTTTTATTCTTCAGAAATTTTAAAGACAAAAATTCGATGTTGTATAAACATCTTTAAAACCAAAACCAATAATAAACTTACTGTTAGAATATGACTACATAAAGACTAAATCCATTCACAAATTGAATTAATATGAAAGGATAACCAATAAAGTTCTGACTCAATATTATTGATATATAATGATATTTTATAAAATAAAGTTTTGATATTGATTGTAAGAGCAATAAGATAAGACAGTTTGTTTTATATCAGTTTAATTCTTTTGGAATCAAGCATGATAAGCCATGATTTTAGTCGTCACTTGGAGAATTTTCATTGTAGTTTTTGCCAGGCGCTAAGCAACTCAGTGAGACCCTGTGTCTAAATAAAATAGTGCCAGGTATGTGGCTCATTGTTTGAGTGCCCCTGAGTTCAAACCCTGGTACTATAAAAGAAGAAAAAAAAATGTAGCTTGACTTTAAACATTACTTTATTATTTTGATAGGCCATCCTTAAAATCATAAATAAAGATTAGTTACTGTATATTTTGCATATTGCTAACAATCTGGCATGAATGAGTACATTGAGGATCTCTGAATTCCATCAACTCCTTCACAATACTTGTAGTAATAACATTCCATTGTGAGTTGGGTCATGGCTTAATTCTTCTTTTTGTGTGAATTATGGAGAAAACTTCGTACATTGTCCTGCTTGCACCAAAATATTAAAAACAAATCCAAATATTGGCATAATATTTGTGTGGTATACTGTCAAATATTAATTTATTAACATTTTTCATTAAATTAGTATGAAGGAGAAAACTCAGACATTTGCAAAGCTCCTTATCACTGTGGGCTACATTCATGCTGTAGGCAGAACTATAATGACCCCACCCTGACTCCCAGGAACCACAAGTCTTATACCACATGGGGTTGATAGAACTTTCTTAATGTGAAGAAAAGTGTAGTCCTTGGGATGGGAATATTTTTCGGGATTATTTAAGTGGGCCAAATCTAATTATGTGAGTTCTTGAAAGTGGACATCCTTCTCCAGAGGAGATTAGGGAGAGGTGTGGCAACAGAAGGACTGTCCCTCAGCATTGACAGCTTTGAGTATTGGTGAAAAGGACCTGTGCTAAGGGTGTGGTTGTCCCAGGTCCTGAGAAAGGACAAGATCCAGCCACCACCTCTAGGAAGGATAGCATTGCACTTGTAGACACATTGACTTCAGCCTGAGAGATCCCTGTCAGACGCCTGGCTTGCGTCACTGTCAAAGAACACATTTATATCTCTTAGGTAACCAAGCTTGTGATAATTCAGTTAAAAAACAAAAACAAAAACAAAACAAACAAACAAGCCAACAAAAAAAAAAAATGCTGACACTGTTATTGTGCAAGATAAATAAAATACCAGCCACCGTAACCTATGGTGGTTAGCGGTCAAGTAGCCAAATATTCACGTTGTAAGCAATGTGAGTATCACTAAAAGGTGGGAACAGGTGGAATAATGGGCTTACACAGATCAGTCATGAAAGTAGATTCTTAGAGCAAGGAGAGGATGAGACATCTCTAGGGGAATAAAAAGAAATGTGGGAAATGAATAGGTGTAGTCAGGGGGGTGGAAGCTCTAACAGGAGCAGGAGAACACAGAGTGATACAGAACCTAAATTAAGTGAGGTCTGATCCCAGTGTAGAATCAGGTCACGGGTAGAAGACAGGGATAGAGAGGTAGCCTGGCTTCAAATCATGTAAGAGTATCTAGGACACATTGTCAAGGTGAGAATCCATGCAGAGGTATTGTATTTTTAGCCAAGGGCTGACAAAATCTGCAATTGAGCAGTTTCTGGTGGGATCCTAGGACAACCCTCAACATAATAATGCCAGTTAACATGTGATTTATTTGGTAAAAACTGAAGACTTTTTTGTATGTGATATTGGTAAAAACTGAAGACTCTTTTGTATGTGATATTTTTGTAGGACTAGAAATGAACTTTATTATTAACAGAGATTTTTGGACTATCAAACCCTATTTTTAATATTTTTCTTTCTTTCCCACAAACCTACGATGCAATATAATTAAATTTTGTTTAAAACATTTAATAGCTTCAAATCCAAGCTATTTTTAATCTTTGGCTGAAAAGGAAATTATAATAGCTGTGAGAAAATTATAATGGCCTTAAGTTCATAACACAAAATTTATATCTAGTTTAGAATGCTTAAAGAACTCTTCTCCAGTAAAAAAGGTCTGAAGTCAAATGTTACAAAGTTTGATCTATGTGCATTATCTTGCACATAGGTCACAGC